GCAGCCCGCCCCCCGCCGCCATGCACCTGCCGCTCTCACCTGCCATGCCCCTGTCCTCAGATCGACTCCTTCGAGCTGCTCTACTACTACGACGAGTACCTGGGCCACTCCATGTGGTGAGTGTTGGGGCCAGTCTCAGCCAGGGAGGCAGCGCCAGCCGGCCTGCCTCCCCAGGGACCCGGGGCCCGGCCTCGCGGACACTGGACGAGCCTCTGGGTGTGGGGCGCGGGGCCCTCCGGGTCTCAGCGCGGCGGTGCCCGCGGCGGCCACTAGAGGGCAGCGAGCGGCTGTCCCTCCCCGGCCCTGCCGGAGCCTGGGGGGAGGGCCCAAGGCCCGCCCTCGGGCCGCGGTGGGGTGAGCGTGGGCGCCGAGCGGGGACCCCGCCGTGTCAGGACGCGGTCTTTGGGAGTGGAGGTCGGGACGAAGCCGAGGAGGGCCAGCTGGCCCCGAGGGGGGAGGAGCTGTCTGTCCCGCTCCTCGAACTCCGGGGAGGGCCCCCCTTCACCCGAAAGGCGGCGGGAACCTCCCAGCTGTGCACAGCCGCGGGAGAGCCGGGGCCCCAGCTGCCGGCAGCTGTCTGTTCCGCCCCCCACCTCACAGGAGGAGCTGGGGCCAGTGAGAGGGTTTGCTGGGGGGGCGGGGGGGGGTGGAGCCAGCAAGCCCTGCACCCCGTAGCCTCAGCCCTGAGTGAGCTGGCCGGCTCCTGGCACACCGGGCCTACACTCCTGTTTCCAGGATCCATTTAGAACAGGCAGAGTTGGTCCTCTTGGCTGCGAGTCCAGGGGCCCTGGACAGGCCTTTGCCAGAGACCTTCCCCCGGGGAAGTTTGGAAAGGGGGGGGGGGCGCGTGAGGGGGAGACAGGGTAGCTGAGAGAAGGGGCTGTGGGAGAGGAAGCCTGTGTGGAGAGGACAGAGGCTGGTACTTTTGGGTGGGATGCTGTGTGTGGGGAAGGGGTGAGGCTGTGGGTTAGGTATGGGCGGGGGGCTTTACAAAGCCCCTTGGAGGACCCCAGCAGGTATGGTTCCCTCTTTCTCACTCTCTCTTTTTTTTTTCACCTGGACCTGGAGGCTTTCCCCCCTTGGCCCTGCTGGGTACACCTGTTCCAGGGCGGGGGGGGGGGGTACTGCTGGTGTGAGGGGTGCCAGGGTGAGACAGGCTCCCCCTACACACACCCCCGCAGAGTGAGGTGGCTAGGGCCGCGTGGGAGGGTCCCCCCACCACGGCCTATGGGCCTCTGATTTGCCTGTGCCAGGAGCAGGCCTCCTCTTCCTGCTTCCTTCCTGCCCCACCCTGGACCCCCCGCACGGGGAGGTCTGGCGGGGAGGAGTGCCCTGGCCTAAACCGGGTGTTCTGTAAACCAGAAAGCGACCTGCATGGGATGGTGCAAGGGAGCAGCCCCAGGAGGGGCAGGGCCGCGTGGAGGGGCGATCGGCTGGGCAGGCCTCTGAGGCCCTGGCCTCCCTGTTGCAGGTACGTCCCCTTCTTCCTCATCCTCTTCATATACTTCAGCGGTTGTTTCACTCCCGCCAAAGCTGAGAGTTCGATGCCAGGGGCGGCCCTGCTCCTGGTGATGCCCAGTGGCCTGTACTATTGGTGAGTGACCTCAGACCTGGGGGAGGGTGGGTGGGGACACTTAGTGAGCCAGGCAGTAAAAATGTGCTCTTGACCACAGTCCCGCTCTGGGCTCCTGCTTCCTCCTCTGTCTAGTGGGGACGGTGACAGTGCTTTGTGGTAGCGTCTCTGTTACCAGGAAGCCAGGCCTGAGTGCCCCTCTCCATTCTCATGCTCCTCTGCCCTCCCTCCTGGAACCCCAGTGCCATAGAATCCACCAGTAATATTGAGCCCATAGAGCCCTGTAGGCCTCAGTTTCCTCCTTTGGGAAATTGGGACAGCCCCTGCTTGTCTCCCTCTCAGGAGATAGTGAGGATCTAGAAGGAGGCAAAGAGGCTTCATAAACTATAAAGCACTATGAAGGTGACAAGGACAGATAAGGGGGAAGTTCCTTGCCTGGTTTCTTTGTGCCTTCCAGAGCTCTCCTCCCATTTCAGAGGACTCAGGCCTCAGCCAGGCCCCTACCTCTGTTCTGTCACTTCTGCCCCGGGGACAGGCTCCCCCTGAGCATTGGTGGGTGTCATAGGAAGGACTGGACCCCTCTCTGATGGAAAGCTTGCCTCAGATTGAAAAGGGCCTTCTTTCCTAGGGCCAGGTCCCTAGGATCCACCCCTGGGTCCATCCCCGGCCAGGTGGAGAGGGTCGACCAGGGCCAATCTGTATGCGACCTGAAGGCAGGATGAAAAAGAATGAGTGGCAACCACAGCAAGAAGGAAAGTGGTTCGACACGCAGAGGGCTTCTTGCCTGGCTCTCCCTGCCCCAGCGTGTCAGTGCAGAGATGGCCACAGTAGGAACAGTGACTGTTTTTGTTGAGCAACGTGCTTTTCCAAGTAAGAGATGTACACAGCTCTTGTCAGTCTCTTACGTCTTGAGAGATAGGGCCACTTATGTCCCCTTTCTAAGTAAGAACACAGAAGCTCCAGGATGTCAAGGTTCCACAGCCACTGAGTTGCAGAGCTGTCATTCCTTGAGTGGAATGGGTCAGCATCGTGTTTCTCTCTAGAGGCAGGGAGTGGACCAGACAACGTCTCAGAAGCCCTCCAACAAATGCTACCGATTCCTGGCCATGTGCTAGGTACTGTCTTAGAAGCTGCAGAGAACCCTGGGAGATCTGAGCCTGTCCCAGCCCTCAAGGAGACAGTAATGACAACCCTATGAATTGCAGCTGCATTCCCAAACTCAAATGCCTATAGGAACCAAGCTGGTAACAGAAGGGCATCAAGTAGGCCTCAAGTAAGGCAATAGGGAATGGTGGGGACTGTGGCAAACAGCAGAACCATGCTCTTTCTAGAGGGACAGCCATTTTCTCCTGTAATCAGTTTCATGCGGGTATAGGGGCCTGACATGACCAAAGAAACCAGAAATCCGCATGTTCTGCTAATCTGTTAGTTAAATGTTGATAACAAACTCAACATTTTTAAAAAATAGCAACTCTACAAGCCAAATCAGTATGCTGCCTGTGGGCCGTGGCTCAGAGTAGGACGGTTCCCTGCTCCTCCATGAGATGAGCTGCTCTGACTGACCCGGAGGCAGCCTGGTATGGGGGTACAGGGGGGGATGCTGGGCAGGATAGAGCCTCTGACTCACCTCCCCCACTGGCCTCTTCAGGTACCTGGTCACCGAGGGCCAAATCTTCATCCTCTTCATCTTCACCTTCTTTGCCATGCTGGCCCTTGTCCTGCACCAGAAGCGCAAGCGCCTCTTCCTGGACAGCAACGGCCTCTTCCTCTTCTACTCCTTCGCCCTCACCCTCCTGCTTGTGGCACTGTGGGTCGCCTGGCTGTGGAATGACACGGTACTCAGGAAGAAGTACCCGGGTGTCATCTACGTCCCTGAGCCCTGGGCCTTCTACACCCTGCACGTCAGCAGCCGACGCTGAGTCCCTGGCACCAGCTGCCGGTGCTCTGCCTGGCGGGAGACGGGCCGCAGAGTGGCTGAGCGGGGATGTGCGTGCATGCGTGTGTGCAGACGCGTGTATCCACCCGTGTGTGCGCTCTCCTAACAGCAGCCGGCCGGATGCGCATTGTGCACATGGACAGGGGTGTGTGTACATGCGCGCGTGCAGAGAGCGTCGTCGTAAGACGCGATTGTTTGGCCCAAGTTTCTCTTCGGTTTGGATCTTTCCAGGATGGGCTATAGTTGGAGGCCAGGTGTCCAGGCCGAGGCGTGGGCCTGCCTTCTCGTGCACCTGACTGGAGTGGGGCCCTCTCGCTCACCGCTCAGGGCGGGTCTCTTCCTGCAGTGGCTTCTGGTAGGCCTGGCGGGTGGGGCAGCAGTGGTGAGGGGACTGGGCATATCACCCGCCACCTGGCTCACCCCTCAGGCCTGCCCTGACCCTGGAGGCCAGATTACAAAGGTTAAGTTAACTCTCTGGGTATTGTTGAGCAAAGCACATCCCTCCTCTGGGCCTCATTTGCACCAGCTGGGAGCAGGGCCCAAAGTGTGTCAGTGGGCTGGTTGTTGGGGCAGCCCTGGGATGGACAGATCGTTCTCTCGTCGCTGCCCTCTGCTGCCCCGGGAAGGGTGTGCGCGCCGCAGATCCTCACCCAGACTCAGGTCACACGGAGTGTTGTGCCGCCCGACTCCCCTGAGCACCATTTCGCTCTGCCAGAAGCTGTCTCCCTGCTCCCCGCCCCCCATAACTGTGGCACCCCTTCCTGGCAGCCTGACCAGCATGTCTGAGCTGCAGCTGAAGGCTGTGTCCTCAAACACTTGCAGTATTTCCTGAGCCCCATTATAGGGCCAGGGGGCATTTGGGGGATGTTGGGAGTGGGGCGGATCTGGAGGCTCTCCCCTGTAGGCCTTGTCTCAGCCTGAATCTCATGGCTTCTGCTCGTGGCCCTGCTCCCAGAAAAGGGAGGCTTCATTCCCATAGGACACCCCGGGCCCGCCTTCTCCCAGGCCTTGGGGCCACATCTGCCCACCCAGCTGCCGGCACCAGTCTCATTTCCCAGCCAGCACTGGCTCGGCGAGCTTGTGGGTCTCAGGGGGCCTGCCCTGCCTTCCCCGGGCCCTGCCTCCTCTCCTGTGTTTTCAGGGAGCCCCGTGCCTCAGATGCTCCTTTCATGTTGGGGTCCCTCTGCAGCCCCCTTAGAGGGCCCCCAGCCCCGGTTCCATGGGCGGAGAGAGGTGTGAATAAAGACCAGTGTGGAGCCCAGCCTGGCTGGTGGCTGCTTCTTGCTCTGGGTGTGAATTTGGGTGGCAGGAGGGAGATCCCTGGGGCCAGGGAGACAGTGGCTGGTCTGAGGCCGGTCAGGGGCTGCGAGCGGGCCCTGCTACTGTCCGTTGGCCTTCTGTGCCACCCTGTGGGATGCTGGGGGTGGGGGGCAAGAAGGGCCTCCTCCAGTCAGTCCCAGCTCTCTTGTGAGGAGTCTGGGGGGCATGGGGGGCGGGGAGCCAGGATAGGGCATCTCCAGGCCTGCCTCTCCGAGATGGCCCCTCAAGCCTCCCCGCTCTGCTGCAAGCCCACTCCAGAGGCTGAAACAGAGAAGGTGCCCTTTGGGGGAAGGTGGGGAGGCTGGTTTGTTGGAGGTTGGCACCGAGCCTTGGGCAAGTCGCTTACTCCCTCGGGGTCTCAGACTCACCACACAGCCCCCAGGACTTACTGGGGCTCCTGTTAGCAGACAACACTGGACAGGAGATGCTCGACGTCGCATCGTCGTAGGATGTGCCCCCACCTGCCCAGCAACCTCACTGGATTCCTGTCTTTGGCCTCTTCTCCACAACAAGACTTGCTGGGTGTCTTATGAGCAGGCACAGGCCTGGTCATGTGGGGCCTGGAGCTTATACAGCTTGGGGGGGTCCTTGATAAGAAAACAAAAAAAAGTGAATAAAAAATTAGGTATGAGGGGCGCCTGGGTGGCTCAGTCAGTTAAGTGACTTTTGATTTTGGCTCAGGGCACCATCTCAGGGTCATGAAATCAAGCCCCGCATTGGGCTCTGCACTTAGCTGAGAGTCTGCTTCAGATTCTCTCTGGCCTGGCCCCTGAAGGCCTCCCCACAAGCCTCAGCTCTGTGTCGTCCCCCCCCCCCCCCCCCCGCCGGCCTCTAAGGCCCCACTTCTCTCCACAAGGCTATTAGCAGAAGCTCCCTCCTCTCCTGCCTCCTGCATCCTGCCCATCTTTCCTCTTCTCAGCCCCAACAGAGAGGAGTCAAATCCTCCAGCTGAAATTCTCTGGGTCTAGAAACAGATGTGAAGAGGAGACTCAGGAGACATCATCTGGGGGAAAAGAGAATCTTCCATGTGGACACGGTCAGGAAGGAGGGAGGGAGGGAGAGCAGACCAAGGGCAGGCCCTCTGTCCACGCCATACACATTAGCAAGAGGTCCCCCTTCCTGCAGGCACGTGCAGCGCCTCACCAGGACCCACGCGTCCCCTGGGCTGGGGGCCCTTGTGCCAAGCACGGCCTGTTGGGCCCTCCACGCCAGTCCTAACAAGGCGGGGGGTGCCCTGGAGTTGGAGCCCCACAGGCTGGGAGCCAGCAGCTGGGGAGGAGAGGAAGGGTGAGACCCAGCTGTGCCCAGCGCAGTGTCCCTAGGGAACCACCCCACTTCTGGGGCGAGGAGATGGGGACAGGCTGATGGGGGCCTGGGGGCAGTTCTGGGGGGCAGAAGAGGGAAATGAAGAAGAGGAGCCTTCCTGGCTGGGAAAGTCACCTAAGAGGCCTCCCTGTGAGCCCGCCCCCCCCGGGTTGCTGGCGGTGGGGCCTGAGACCCCACTGCAGGCACCACCCCACCCCTACCCTCAGGGTCCCCAGAAGGAAGGAAGTGGAGAACCGATCGTGCTCTGGCCCTTTGATTCTCTCGACAGCCCTGTGATGAGGCCCGGCGCAGAAACTGAGGCACAGCGCAGTGAAATGACATGCCAAGGTCACTCAGCAAATGGACCTGAGGGAAGGATTTGAATCCAGCCCAAGAGCAAGGAGCTTGGGCTCCCTCTCCAGAGTGCATCCCAAGGCCTTGGCAGTGGGGGCGTCCCATCATGGCAGGGTCTCCTTCCTGCCCAGAGGATGCTGTGTGATGGGTCTTCTTTAAGAGTGCAAAGCACCGGGGCGCCTGGGTGGCTCAGTCGTTAAGCGTCTGCCTTCGGCTCAGGTCATGATCCCAGCGTCCTGGGATCGAGCCCCGCATCGGGCTCCCTGCTCGGCAGGAAGTCTGCTTCTCCCTCTCCCACTCCCCCTGCTTCTGTTCTCTCTCTCGCTATGTCTCTCTCTGTCAAATAAATAAATAAACAAAATCTTAAAAAAAAAAAAAAAAAAGAGTACAAAGCACCCGACACCTAGGAGTTGTCCGCCCCCAGCCTAGTCCCAGGGGGGAGAAAGGAAAGATCCCCGAGGCACCCCCTTTCTGTGTATCACCGCCCCCACCCCCGTCCACGGAGGGCCCCCCCGGGAAGGAATGGTGGCATGTGTCCATTTGCCAGAGAGCACCAGCTTCCCGATGCAGGACGAGTCGTGGGGAGCCCTTGTGCAGCCCCATTTACTTACAGGGAAACGTGTTGCCCTGCCCGGTGGGGGGCCGGGGCATCAGCTGTGCACGGGAAGCTGGAATCTGACCCCGGGGCGGGCGCTGGGCCTGGTCGCCATGGCAGCCGCGGATTTATTACTGGGGCCTCCACCCAGCTTGGCGGACTTTCGACTTTCGACTTGAAGCCGGGAGGAAGGGGACTGAGTGGGCAGTTGTGGGAGCCTCGAGCCCACAGGCGACAGCCTGAGGCCCCAGAATGGTAAGTAGGGGGCTGTGTCCTCGAGCCTGGCTGCCCCGGGCTGGGGGTGCGGGAGGCGCTTTCACAGAGTCCCCTCCCTGACTGTTTTCCTCTGTCTGCTACAGGCCAAGTTTCTGTCCCAGGACCAAATTAATGGTAGGTTGGCTTTGCTCTTTAATTAGCAACTCGCAGCAAAATATGGATCTCATTAGGCAATTTGCTCTGCTCTTTTTTTTTCTGTCGGTGGGAAGGAAGATGGCTGGTGGGAGAGCCGGGCCCACCCACAGGCAGGGGGCCACCTGCTGCAGGGGGACACCACTGGGGGGGTGGGTAGTGACCACCACCACTAGCTGCGGCGGGGGGGCAGTGTGGAGGGGGGCTCAGAGGTGGAAGTGTGGCGTTACATTTGTCAGTGGGACTTAGCAGTGGGGGAGATAGGAGAGGGCGCCCGCTAGGTGCTCCTCCAGGCCCGATAGCTGGATTCGGGAGGAGGGATGGGAGATTGGGGGGTGCCACCAGTAACTGGCTGTGGAACAAAAGAAGGGGCTGAGAGGGAAAAGAGCCCTGGTCTGCACTCTCGGGCAGGCGCTTCTACTCTCTGGGCCTCAGTCTCCCCATCTGTGAAATGGGGGTGGCCTGAGGTGGCGTCTGCGGTCTCCGGTGCCCTGACATCAAGCCGTGTTTGGAGCATTTACTCCCCGAGGCCCCTAGCCAGCCCGCCGCCTAGTGTAGCACAGCACGGAGTTGTGTTTCCAGAAGGCCAGGAGGGGAGAGTTGGGTTACACAGAACCCAGGGGCCTGGCAGAGCCCAGCTAGGGTCCCGCAGACGCTGGAGGTGTGCTTAGGGTTACTTGGGCAGGGATGCCAGAGTTCTGGGTCCTCGGAGCTTGGTCTAAAGCAGGTGGGGGGCAGGGGTTGCAGGCTCCAGGTGGGCACCTTGTCTTAGATGGCTCAACATCCTCACCCCAAGAAGAGGGCCAGAGCAGGGACTGTGAAAACCTAAGGCCCAGGGCAAGGGCCTCTCCTGCCCAGGTCTGAAGGGCAGACTGAGTGGCGACTCAAGGCTGGAGTCCAGCCATCAGCCTCAGGAACCCCCCTCCACCAACCCACACCTAGTTCTGAGGCTCAGTGACCCTCCCTTCCTGGGATCTCCCAGAAGGGAAGGAGGGAAGCTTCCCTTTGTATCCCCGTATCTGACATCAAGAAAGTGGCCACTAATGTTTCGTGGATGAGAGGTTGCCCAGAGGTAGGCCACTAGAGTGGGAAGGGCAGGGCTCTCGGACGCAGCAGACCGGAGGTCCAGTCACCTCTGAGCCTCAGCTTTCTCCTCTGTGAAGGAGGGAGAAGGACACGGCTTCACCAGGCCGCTGTGAGCGAGGGGCGGAGAGGATGTCAGTCAAACACATGACCCTGGGCCTAGCTCAGGCCGGCTGTCCCCCAGACTCGCTCTAGCTAGCATGAGCTGGGTGGTACAATTTTAGGAACATTTTGAGCTGTTAAAATCAGCCATTATTAAATAACTCAGCATCAAACCATGTTTCAATCCCTGCCTCTATACAGTGGACGTTTTAAAATAACCCCACTGCAATCAGCGGTGCTGAAGATTTGAAAGAGGTTTCAGTTTAATGAATGTAATTTGTACGAGGGTGGGAAAGTGTCACAGTAGCTCACTTAACAGAGTTAATGACAATACATTCACGGGGAAAGAGCTGCATTCATCGGCATGCGGCCTCCCTTGGCAAACCACGGAAGCTATAGGTTGGCAACGGACACGAGAGTTGGCAAAACTCACTTGTGATAATCAGCTGGCTAGAAAGGAACTTATAAAGAATAGTGCACATTTTATCATTATTTATAAATGGTGTGCTACACATCCTTTATGTCTGTAAAAGTTATAATAAACTTGTGTCCATATATCATCAGAGCGGGTTATTAGACATGCACGCGCACAGAGCCGTGATGCTGTAGGCCCTGGGGAGGATTCTCTCCTGCCCCGGGGCATTTGCATTCTCAAAGGGAAGACCTGAGGGGGATTTTTAACCAATTTATTCTTTCCTTCACCAAATACGAGTCCTTTCTTTGTGCCAGGCCAGTTCTAGGCACTAAGATACGGCAGCAAACGCAATGGACAAAATCCGTTCGCTCACTCACACTTGAGGGAGGAGGGGGGCAACAAAAGCAGTAATATATATAGGCTGTTAAATGGCCTGCCCATCTGAAGAAAAGGCTGGAAAGGGGAGCAGAGGGGTGGGGGGGTCCTGGTGGCTGGAGAGGGGCTGCAAGGAGAACAGCCTGCTGTCCTGTTCCAGGACAGGAGTCCCCATTCAGATCTGGCCTTCCAGGTCTTTCGATGGTATATTTGTCAAGGTGGGAAGATAGAACGTATTTTATCTAACCGTTTGTTAGGAGATGGGACTCCATTTGTCCCCGGCCCTGATGATGTCAGGGGCATCGTCCCAGGTACTGATCCACGTGGGAGAGGAAGTTTGCCCGTCCGTAAGGCCTGGCCAATTCCAGGCAAGGGTGTGATGCCTGCCCTCCAGCACGGGGGCGAGGCAGGGACAAGTGTCATAGGTTGAGGTCTCAGGGGGCAAACTCTGACAGAAGACAAGGTGGGTGGCCATGAGAGGTCCCCAGGAAGGGCGCTGGGGGAGTTGCAAGCCCTACATGTGGGGTGGCTCCCTCTCTGTGCCCCCTGGAAGTGAGGACATCACCCCCACTGGCACGGGGCCCTCTTGGAGGGAGTTAGGTTTTGCAGGAACCAAAGGTGGGATCTTAGGCCAGGCTCTGGTGCTGCTTCCCCTGGGCCACTTCAGTTCCTGCCCCCTGGTCATGTCTGTGTTCTGGCCCTCTCCAAGCCCAGGCTCTGGAAAGTTCTGAAAGGGCTAGGCTTTCCCCTTCAACCTCTCCACAGGCACGAAGGTGGCTAATTGTCCCTAAACCCCACCAGGGAAGCTGCCTTTTTTTAGCAGCACCCCTGAAATCCTCAAGGAGAGGCCTTAATTGGGCAACAGGAAGAGGCCTTAGGGCAGGAGCCGGGGGCCTCCCTTCAGCTTCCCCCTACTCCCTTCCGCCCTCCGGTGGCCTCTGCCTGGGAATCCAGGATCCAGAGTGACCTCGTGGGTGGAGCTCTGTTTCAGGGACCAGGCTGCCTCTCCCCCCACCAGGCCCTCAGCCGCCCCAGCCTTCAGTGGCCCCCCTGCACAATGGGAAGAGCAGAGGCATGGCGTCACGCACCACGGGGCCATTGCAGGATGGAACAGTAGTGTGAGCCTGCCATCGGTTTTGTTATGACCAGCTGAGGAGCGGCTGGCCCAGGCCTCCGAGGCACCAGCCAGGTGGTGTGAGGAGCAGGGCAGCTGGGTGCCGAGAGGCGCGGATGGGGCTCAAGCAGTGGCTCCACACTGTGGGCCTCAGGGATTGGAGAGTCACCCAGGCAGCTCTTGACCAACTCTGACCGCAGCCCCACCCCAGCCTGTATGGGAATCTCAGTGGTGGGGCCCAGGCACACCTTCCCCAGCTCCCTAGCTGGCCTCACCGTGCCCCCAGGGCAGGGAGCTGGGCTCTGCTGGGCTGCCAGACGGGGGTCTAGAGGACCCTTAGCTCCGGCAGCCATTGCATTTCCTCCCAGGAGCTAGGGGTGGGGAGGGCAGCCAGCCAGATCTAGTCAGAGCCTGGTAGAGCCCCTGAAGTCTTTTTTTTTTTTTTAAAGATTTTTTATTTATTTGAGAGAGAGAATGAGAGAGAGAGAGCAAGCATGAGAGGGGGGAGGGGCAGAGGGAGAAGCAGACTCCCCGCTGAGCAGGGAGCCCGATGCGGGACTCGATCCCGGGACTCCGGGATCATGACCTGAGCCGAAGGCAGTCGCTTAACCAACTGAGCCACCCAGGCACCCACCCCTGAAGTCTTTAAGAACAGGACCAGGGCTGTGTCCCACGACAGCTGGAGGGTTCAGCAACCTGGAGGTGGCGGGCTGGAGAGCAGGGTCAGCAGTGCCCACCACATAGGACAGCCATTCTCTGCCAGGCCCCCCAGAGGGGATTCCTGCTCCTTTCAGTAACCCAGAGGCATTATTACCCTGGTTTCCCAAATAAGCTGTCTTTGCAAAGGTACCCTGGATCCTGCACGCCCTCCTGTAGACTCCTGGTCTCCATGGGCTGGGCCTGGAGGGTAGGATTGCTTTCCTTTGGTTTTAGTCAGTTAGGGAAGGGGAGAAAAGAGGAAAAGAAAAAAGAGAAGGAAGGGAGGAGGGAGGAGGCAGAAGGGAAGTCAGGAGGGGGAGGGGATAGGGTTGCCAGATAAAATACAGGCCACCCAGTTAAATTTGGATTTCAGATGAACAGCAAAAACTTTTGAGTATAAGTATATCCCATGCAAAATGTGGGACATACTTATACTAAATATGTATTCACTGTTTATCTGAAATTCAGTTTAACTTGGCAGCCCTGTATTTTTATTTGCTGTATCTGGAAACTCTAAGGGGGGAGGAGGAGAGCAAAAGGAAGGGGAAAGGAAGGGAAAGGGAGAGAGGGCAGAGAAGGCATGGGGGTGGAGAGCAATTACATGCCGCCGACTCTTCCTTCTGCGCTGTGCACAGAGTACAAGGAATGCTTCTCGCTGTATGACAAGGAGCAGCGGGGGAAGATAAAAGCCACTGACCTCATGGTGGTGATGAGGTGCCTGGGGGCCAGCCCGACACCAGGGGAGGTGCAGCGGCACCTGCGGATCCACGGGATCGGTGAGTGGGCTGGGCCAGAGGCGGCTGCTGGAGGGGCATACACCATCTGGGCTGGGGGGAGAGGCCCCCGAGCCCTGCAGCTGTGGTCCTGGGGCAGGACCCAGCAGGTGGGTAAGGATGGTGGGGGCAGGCAGCGCTCAGACGTTTGAGGGGCAGGTGGGAGTCAGAGCTCACCAGCAGAAGCTATGGCGACATTTGGCCAGGTGTGCCGCGTATCACTCAGGCTTCCTCGAATCCCCACAGCAACCAGCGACATGCCCGTCTGTCACAGAGGACCACGGGATCTAGGCATTCCATCAAGGTTATCACAAACCTGCAGTAAAGACAGTGTTAACAGTGCTCCCGTGTGTCAGGAGAAAACAATTTCCCTTCACTGAGTATCGGTCACATGCTTAGCTCAAACAACTCTGTGAAGTAGGCACCATCCCTACTCTGTTTTACAGGTAAGGATCAAGGTTCAGAGCCATTAGGTAATTTGCCCAAGTTCTTAAGCCAGTGGTGGAATCAGGGTTGGGACCCGATTCTTCTTTCAAAGACTGACCTCCTAAAAACTATGCAACACTCCGGGGCGCCTGGGTGGCTCAGTCGTTAAGCGTCTGCCTTCGGCTCAGGTCATGATCCCAGGGTCCTGGGATCGAGCCCCGCGTTGGGCTCCCTGCTCCGCGGGAAGCCTGCTTCTCCCTCTCCCTCTCCCACTCCGCCTGCTTGTGTTCCCTCTCTCGCTGTGTCTCTCTCTGTCAAAATAAATAAATAAAATCTTTAAAATAAAATAAAATAAAATAAAAAAAACTATGCAACACTCCGAGAGAAAAGGTAGAAGAAAACCCACCCAAAGATTGTTCTCTCTGGTGAGGGGATTAGGGATGATTTTCATTCCCTTTATTGTTTCTTGTATGTTTGACAATGGGAACATCTGGGACTTTTATAACCAGAAACAAGTTTTATTTTTTAAAAAACAAAAATGAGAAAAACCAGAGAGGTGTCAGAGGCCGGGGTGGATGTTTGCATTGGTGGTTGGACACACAGGAAGGAAAGCCTGGCCCAGAGGGAGGAGGTGGACTGGAAAGAGCACTTGACCTGGAGCCCAGAGGTGACTTCTTGGTGTCTGGACCTCGTTTCCTCCTCTTTCAGATGGATTCGCGCCATCTGCTAGGGTTGCTCTGAGGTCCCATCAGAGTGTACCTGCGGCAGCGCTGGGAGCCCCTCGGGGGCGGGGGTGGGCCTCTAAAGATCTGGAGCCGGCTGATGGGGTGCTCAGTGACTGAGATCCCGTTTCTAGCTCTGAAGGGGTTGTGGTTTCCTTTGGCTTCTGTCTCCTCCAAACAGGAAGTTGTGGTCAGGGGAAGTTCCGATTTCGTGCAGTTGTAGCTGGCCAGGGCCTGGGCTGAGGCCCCCAGGCATGCTTGGAGGAGGGGCATGGGCTGGGGAGACTGGGGCGGATGCTGCAGTGAGGGGGAAGGCAGATGAGCAGGTGGGACTGGGGCTTGAGGCTTCAGGCGGGGTCACCTGTCCGTCCTTGTAGATGTGCTACTGTGGCCGCCAAGGAAGGATGGATGCATGGTGTATTTCCCTCCAGTTCAGGGCAGGAGGGGGGTACCCGGAAGGGAGCAGAGGAAGTGTGCCCCATCCTGGTCCTGCCACCGCCCTGTGAGGTGACTCCACACTCTGGGGCCTCCGTCTCCTTAGTGGGCAAAATGGGGCAATGGTCATCCTGGTCACTGAGGGTTATTGAGAGGATTAACGAGGCAGATCCATGGTGGGGGCTCAGTAGGAGGGGCTGCATCCTCCTCACGATAACACTGTCACCACCATGGCACTTCCTGAATTTTAGGGGGCCCTTGAACTGGCCATAAAAACTTGGGCAGGAGGCCACTGAGCCTCTTCAAGAAGAGCCTTTTCCTCCCTGCTCACTCTGCTGTGTTTGGGGGTTTCCCAGACAGAGATGGAGAGCTGGATTTCTCCACTTTCCTGACCATTATGCACACGCAAATAAAACAAGAGGATCCAAAGAACGAAATTCTTTTGGCCATGCTGATGACAGACAAGGAGAAGAAAGGCTACATCATGGCATCTGAGCTACGGTCCAAACTCATGAAACTGGGGGAGAAGCTCACCCACAAGGAAGGTAAAGGCCTGAGTCCCTCTTTCCCAACAGTGGGGGAGGGGGAGGGAGCTCGGGGAGGACAGCAAAGGCCAGTCCCTGCCAGCAGGACCGTGCAGACACCGCAGGTGATGCTTGCCTCCAACAGCTGCAACTAGACGTCACCTCAGTCACCTCGAGCCCGAGGGAGAAAGTGGAGGCCCGGAGAGTGACGGGAGAAGTCTGCCGGGGGGAGGGAAGGCCTGGGGAGAGCTAGCTAGGATCTACTTGGGCCTTCATTTAGTGCTCACAAGACCCCTGGGGGCACTGACAGGTGACAGGCTGGGGCTTGAATGCAAGTCGGTTAGACACACATAGGCCCCCTCAGACTTTTGCCCCTTGCCAAAGCGTCTTCTGAAGTTGTTGCTAATGCCATGAGTTTCCAAACTGAGATGCTCCTTTGCCCCCCTCCTCACGACTCAGCCAGTTTGAAGAGCTCTTCCAGAAGGAGCGTCTGCGGTGGTCTTTGCCTCGCACCTTCCAGCAGGCCAGTGTGTCTTCCCACCTCGGAGCAGGCCGAGGGACTGGGTCTTCTGGGCACGCCCTGTGGACACTGTAGAGGGTGACCCCCGTGCTGGGCCGTCAGCCGGCATTCTTCCAGCCTAGCCCCTCGGCCCTGGCCCAGCAGCCGTCCCGGGGCCACCACCAGAGGCTGGCATTTCCAGCTAGGCCGCTGGGCCTGCCTGTGGCGGGGACGGGGATGCCTTGCTAGGACACACACGGGTGGAGGGAAAGGCTTCGAGAACTTCAGCCTTTGGTTAAATCACAACAAACCAGTGGCTTGAATTCAATTTGACGCCTGGCTCCCCCTCATTCTGGGGACCCTCTGAGGCGTTTCTTAACCTCTCTCGCCCTCCTCAGCTTCCTGGTTGGGAAACGAGGTTACAATACACAGTCCCTCAGGTCCCTCCAAGGGCTAGCATTCTGTAAAGCAGTCTACTTAGATTTTATCGGCAGTCACTAAGGCACAGCGCGAAGCATTTAAAAATAGCGCTACAGGGACATGTGGGTGGCTCAGTCGGTTAAGCGTCTGCCTTCAGCTCAGGTCATGACCCGCGGGTCCTGGGATTGAGTCCTGCATCAGGCTCCCTGCTCAACGGGGAGCCTGCTTCTCCCTCTGCCTGCCGCTCCCCCTGCTTGTGCTCTCTCTCTGACAAATAAATAAATAATATCTTTAAAAAATAAAAATAGCACGACAGACGGCACACCGAGCTCTCCCTGCTTTCTCAGGCTGGCAGTGAGCGTGAGCTCATCTTTCACCGTGGCCGTGTTAATGTGAATGGGGGAAGCATGGGCTCTCCTTCGCTCTCAGGCTCTGAGGACCCTGCTCGGCCTTTTAATGTTCCAGGTGGAGTGTTGGCGCGGGTGGGGGGGCCAGCCGGGGCCTCCATTCTTACGGTTAACGATTTCTGTCTAAAGCAATACCATGGCCCCCAAACTCGCACCCATCTCTTGCTTGTTTAACCAGGGAAGAAGCATTTCAAACCAACTGGTAATGTGTTCCAGACAAGCAGGAAGATCCATTTCCCTTCCTCTTGCTGTGGGAGAGAGGAAAGATGACACTAGAAGTAGGAATCTTTCACCCTGGGTGACTGAAAGAACAAGTTCAATTTTTGTCAAGAAGCTGGAGAAGGCTGCTGGGGCGGCCTGATTTCCACCCCCCGGGGTCTCTGTGAACAGGAGGGGCCTGCAGTGCCTGAGCTGCAGCTGACGTTGCACCTGTCCACTGGAAAGGGTTGAACCCAGTGGCTGATGGGTAGAAGCTTCTCCATGAAATAAGATAAATTGCAGTCTCCTCAACATTCTAAAAATACTCAGAACTACCATCGGCTTAGGCACAGAGCATAGTAATTACATTTTAGAGGAGGATGGATGGTTAAGCGGAGAATCACGGGATATTTTCCAACCCCCCAGAACTATGTGTCGGGGACATCTAGCGCCAGGGAAGTTGACAAAGGGCAGTGAAACAGTTTTTGCAAGGGGATGAGGATGGGCCCAAAGAGCCAAAGGTAGGTTGGCCCCAAGAGGCCACTGTGGAGAAATGGAAGCAGAAATGCCCTTGCTTGCCAACATCTGGGACTAGCTAGTATTTTGTCCCAAGAATCCAGAACCAGAAGAAACAAGTAAATGAAGTGATTTTTTTTTTTTTTTTGAGCAATATCAGAGAACAATGACAGTTTTGTACACTTTGGGCTTTAGACACAGTTGAATTTATTTTCTCTCCTACTACCCCAACCCCCTAAACACACATGTTTTAAAAAAGAGGTGATGGTGGCAGACACCACTTGCCACCAAGTCCCCTCTTCGGGTGGGGCTTGCCAATTAGGAAGGGAAGGCAGGCAGGCCGGGGACAGGCCAAGGCCACAGGCAGCGTGGCCCAGGATGGGGCTGCTGAGGGGGTCTGTTCTGCTGGGAGGCTGAGAGGGTGGGCTATAGAAGGTAACGTCCATATCAAGTGTTTCTGGAAATATATGCACAGGGGTCAGACATTTTCTTAAAAAAAAAAAAGCAAGCAAGCACAAGGTGACTTCAGTGACTTAATTGTCATTAGCAACCTCCCGACCCTCTACCTGGGCCCCTGCAGAAAGCCTGATTCACTCCAAATGGCATCAGTGGCCTTCAGGGATAGGGGGTGGGTTGTCCTGTTCTGTTCACTGGTTTATCTCCTGGTCTACAGGAACGGGTCCATTGGACACAAGGAAAGGCCTTTGGGGAGCCCCAACCCCCAATAACTAACTCGATGTCCTATAATGTAACACTACAGCCAACCTGAAAAATTAATGTGATTTATTGCAGTGGATGATCTTTTCAGGGAAGCAAATATCGAACCAAATGGTAAAGTGAAGTATGATGAATTTATCCACAAGATCACCATTCCTGTGCGGAACTACTGAATGAAGAGAATGCGAGAGAGCCTCCCTTGGGCCTGAGAACTCAGACTGAGAAGTTTTTGAAAAGAAAAGGGGTCTTTCACTTTGGGGGGGGGGGCGGATGGTAAACGCAGCAGCAGGATGACATGACCTGACGGCAGCAGGGGGTAACTTGGCGGTGACACAAAATGGTTTCAGCCTGGCATTAGTATGGCTTTAATAAAAGATTTGTATTGATTTTAACAACTGCCATGAGTCCAGCCCTTTATAGCATCGGAAGAGCCTGTGGTTTGGAGTTGGGCCTGGGTTCCAGTTCTGACTCTGCCATTTCCCAGCTATGTGACTCTGGGTAAGTCATTTCACCCCTCAAAGCCTCAGTCAGATCCCTAAACTCAACTGGGACTCCTACTTCTTACCTCATGGAACCTACCAAGGGTGGTCTGAGAGAAGGACTTGAAAACGCCATTGCAAACTGTAGAGCACTGTGCAATCCTGAGTCACCACGGCGGCACGTCTCCTAAACAGGGCAGTCTACCAAAAGACGCTATTCTGTATTTGGGTGCTGGAACCATCTTCCACATTTCCAAGGTAAAGCCAGTGCTGGCGGAGAACTAGCATCAAGCAAAGAGCTAAAACAAACGAAAAAGTATGGTTAAC